CCTGTTAAAAATTATAAGAAGGATGTTCTCTGTAAATGATTATCAATGAAGAACGTTTCCAGTTAGTTCTAGTGAGCTTAATTACAATGGAACCAGTGGCCATAAGAGCTTAATTTGGTGAGATTTTAACAAGGCTCCAGTTCAAAGCTAAGGGACTGACCATCACTGATTGATTGTTCATTACTTAAGCTAAAACCCTCTTTTCACCTTCTATTCATGGTATAAATTTCGGCTAAAATCCCCTGCCAAGTATTCAAAAACAAGACCTATTTGTACGTATTTTTTTAACTTAAATTTCTAAAATTATCAACAAGAATTCCAATAAGAAAATGATGTTTACTTTAACCTAATCTGGTTAATAATTAATAACACTCGTCTGTAAAATTAAATTAAAAGAAAATTTTCATTCCTATCTTGTCTTCAAATCTCACAGTTCTCACACGTTATCAGGAAACAATTTGAATAAAAAGAATAAAAATCTCAGTTATGACATCAAGCCAATGTAAGTATGGAATTCGGGTCATTAATTGGGTTGTGGCTCGTAGAATAGGCCACGCCCATCAATTTCTACTCTACAAAGCCCATTCATTATATAAGGTCCCAACTCCCGATCCAACCTCTTCAAAATAAAGCAATGTTTTAAACATCAACCCAGAGGCCGAATTATTTTTGCCCCAAAATCGTAGGTCACCAGTTCGACCAGCCGGTTGAACAGGTCAACCATGTTAGGAAAAAAAATTATATTCTACATATAATAAATGTTTATATAAGTTATTTTGTGTTTAATTTATATTTTATAGTTCAGTTTTTAATTTTTTTTATTTGTAAAAAATGCTAAAATTTATGATTTGAGACAAACAAATGTGTTTCGTGGCAAAAAATAGTGGGGCAAGGTTCCTTTGGTCCCTTGGGATGCATAGATCTCATAAATTACCAAAACATCAAACAAAAAAAAAAGAAAAAAGATCACGCAAAGTTATGGCCTCTAGAGGTTTGTCCATGGTTCAAAATTTGTATACAGCCTGATACGCTGGTAGGGGCATAGCAGACTGTATAAGGCATGTCTATCCCCTAAACCGGGTTAAACCCTGAAACACCCCCTGTAGGGGCATATCAGAAAACCCCCAATACAATACATATCAGTCGATACGGTCCAATATATATCAAAACTTTGAGCCTTGGATTTGTCTATATATTTATAATATGCAACCCATGACCCAGTGACCGGGTGGAATGGGTCAATGGTTCAACTGTCTGTGTCAAATGGTATTGACCCAGTCAATGGTTTTTTAAAGATTTCCGGGTTTTATGAAACCCAGATCCAGAATTGTAACCGAGTGACAATTGTTGGGTCAACAGTGGCTTTAAAACACTGAAATAAGCTAGAATACCTACTCTATCCATGCAAAGAGGATTCATAAATTCCTAGTCAGCTCACGTAGGGATCCTTCTTACACGATCTACAACGTGAGCAATGATGTGGGTAATCCCAACTTGTAAATTTTTTTTTTATAATTCGAAGATGATCCGTATGCTTTTGTTGAATGCCAATTGCTAATGACTAATCAGATGAGCTGATGGGCCTCAGAAAAGAAAAGTCATTGGTTTGCCAGGCCAATGGTCCACCATAGTGTTTTAGTTTAATTTATGAACAAAGGGTCAAAATAAAAGTCATTGATATTCCAGATTGTGCTGCTGCTGCTTCTGCTTCTGATGCGTTCTTAGGGGTGTCTACCAACTGGTTTGATTCAATTTGGGGAATATCTCAGATTAAACTAGTAAATTACGGTTTAAAAAATTGTAAGACCAAATCAAACCTTTTTAGTATAAAAACCAAACCAGAACTTGGTTTTTAATACAGTTTGGACCATTCTATTGGGCTTAACCTAACTAGAAAGCCCAAATAACACAGATTTAACATGTACCACCTACTACTATTTTATAAATTTCATTCACACTTTTTTAAACATAAACAATTCCTTGGGCTTGGGCATCAAATTACAAGTTAAAAATAGAAATGTTAACTACAAACACAACATGCATATGTTTAAACATATGAGTTATATATTATATACATTAAAATATATTATTAATAATTTAATTTGATTTGATTTACTGTTTTAGAAAACCAGACCAAACAAGAAAATTACGGTCTAAGGCATCATCAAACCAAACCAAACCATTTTAAGGCAAATCAGACCAAACCACTAATTTCGGCCTAATTTGATACGGTTTGACAGTATGAACACTCTTAACCGTTGTTAATGGGTTTCCTAAATTATGTAAAATATGATGCAGTTAGTATCATATTCTACTGTTGTGATTGTTGTTAAGATATATTTAATTAAGCCTTGGTTATTAAGTTTCTTAATTAGTGAAGATGGGAGAAGGGCAGCGTACTTCAGTATTCTACCAGAACCTTCTTAGTGGGAGGCCTTTTCTTTGGGTGGTTATAAATAAAATAGTGAAAATAGTAGTTTCTTCTGCATCCTCGTTGAATTTTCTTCTCCTTGAAGAATTTTGTTATTGGATTTATGAAAATCTTCAAACCTTTTTCTTTGGATAAGCCAGAACTAAATCTTTTTGGGGGGCTTAAAATTCATTGCAAGTAAAAATGGATTCTTTGGAGCTAAAAAAAAATGTTTAGCTTGGAGCGGAAAACAAGCCTAAGGCTGAACCTCTACCTCATTCAAATTTTCTAACACTGTCCTGACCTTTGAGTGGAGGCCTCGTTCTTTTTACACCATAACAGGGGAAAGAACCTGCATTCTTTTGCAGAGAACTGTAGGATTCATAGAAAGTTAATTCTCGCTCTGATAAATTTTTGGGTCACTTTCTCTAAGTGTTTCTAACAGGTGGATAAATCACTATCCCATGGAGACAAAAAAAGTTGGCCAAATTGTTATGGGATTAAATGCCCTGTCAGCATATAAAATTGAAGGCTCTTTCGGAAATTTGCGTACCTAATTAGCATTTTTACATCCCAACTAAAAAAAGGCCAAAAAGAGTCGTAATCTTGATGGATCATAAAGCAAACAGAGGAGAGAGAGATATAGAGAGAAAGAGAGAGAGTAGAAAAAAAGTTGTCTTAACTGTCTATTCTTCCTAAATAAAACTAAAAATACAACATGAATAGAAAAAACCTCCCACTTTATTCAATATAAAAAAAAAAAAAAACAAAAAACAAAAACAAAAACAAAAACGACTGGGGGAGGGCAAAAAGCTAGCTCTCTGGATTCTACCTAGTGTCGTGAGAGAGGTCTTTATCTGTTAGTCCTCTCCAAGAAGCTCATCCTGTAAACATGGCAGGAGATTAATGCCACACAGCCTTAGATCAGTTTTAAGACATATTTTGCAGTACAAACTCCTAGAACAATCCCTGGGTTTCTTTATCAAAAAGAACTAAATAAGCAAAGCAAATATAAGGATCAAACAAAGTTACCTTCTATCATAGCTCGTCTTTTACCGCATCCTGCTGAACAGTTTCCTGTTGGACGGCTTCCTGCTGAACAGGCTCTGGCTGGGAAGTTTTATCCCTATTCTTCTGAATGAAATCTATGATGTCCTCCTTGTTCCTATCCCCATCATACAGAGACAGGTTGCCACTTGCTGATCTGAAGTACAAAGTCGGGTAACCCTTAACATCAAAAGTTTCATTTGGGAAGTCATTTGCAGTTGCATCCTGGAAAGAAAACGTAGGAGTTAAAAGGTGTGTCAACCATCAAATATCTAAAAAGATAAACGAAAGAACAATAAACAAGCCCTAGAAGATGACGAAAGTGCATTGATATGGACAAACTTCAATCTGAGACTTGATATGGCATAGCCAGGCACTGAAAACGAAGAATAGAATGTATCAAGAAAGCACAATAGTAATAAATGGATGATATTTTCTTCAGGCTTACTCAGAAAAAGAACATTAATGCCAATGGATTGATCAAAAAGATCTCTGTAGTTTTATACTAACATTGGCAATTTGTAAAATTAGTTAAGGACCCATTCAGAAACGACAGATGATAAAGAGAAAAATATATCAACAGCCACACCAAATTGCCATTGTGGAACGTTTTATAGTCACCAATGATGAAAGAGAACGGATTTTGCTAGAATTTAGAATCAATACTTTGCTGCTTCAGTCTGTCCCACTAACCCCATATCTGAGACCAATACCCTCAATACCCAAATGGCAAATATCCTTACATGATTAATTTGCACCCAGACAAAACAAACAGGGATGATGTGCAGTGACGGGAAACTGAGATAACCGCAACAGCATTATTGGCAACAGTAACTACATAGTAAACAGCCCCTTTGCAGCTGTAGGACTTATTTCTTTGCCCTTCTATTGTTTTCTTCCTTCTTTCTTTATTTTATTTTTTCAAAACATCTTTTCCACAAATGCAGAAGTACCTAGTTCTACCTATTACCCATGGAACATTTGGATTGAATAGTTGGCTACAGGTTCTAGATAGTATTCTTCTGGAGTATGAACTTACCTACATGAGTTATCTTTTTCCAAAACCAATCACTACCCACGGGAATGCGCTAGTGTGTGCATATAGTGCAGAGAAGGAATCTTACTAATTTTACAATGATAACATCAGCATCACTTTGAAATGAGACAGCAACTTCATCTAAGATTGGAGCCAGTTTCTTGCAGTGTCCACACCAAGGTGCATAGAACTCGACCAGAACTGCAAAACAGAGCATGCAAAGATCATGTGAAGAAGCAAGAAAACTAATAGTCATATTCATACGCTATGGCTAAAATATTCTCTTATGTCAGTAACCTTTCTATGTTTACCACTTCGTCCTAAACATCAAGCAACACTTAGAATCAAACTATAAACTGTAAAAGAAACAATAATTTTAAAAATATAAAAATAAAAAACAGTAGCCCATCCAGAATTATGTTCACTATGAACCTATACAGGACATTTAGACCAATGGTTGAGAACCTTGTTGGAAGGTTTATAAGCTTTAAACACACATCCTCCTAAAAGGAAGGCCAATATGTTTCCTAAAATGCAGCAAAGAAAGACATGCTCAGACAATTCTACAAATTGATTCAACCCTGCTGTAATATATATGATGTATCCCGTTACATGTGGGGGCAAAATTGTCCTTTCACCGTTTATTTCTGACACCCTAATAAAAGAAGAGAGGGAGCAGCTGTCAACCCATTAAAATTTTCACATTATATTTTCTCTTTTTCTCTCCCCTCTTCTGCAATCTCTCTCTTCCTTTTTCCCAATGTTTCAGATATGATTACACGGTATCAGAGCACTAACCTGGGCAGATCTGAATTTCTTTTTCACTCTTTACACTGCAAGATTTGATTGACAATTCAGACCCAGTTTTTCACTCAGAGGTGTATCAAGTGGCCTCTTGTTTCTGATCATCCAATCTGAGTTTATGATCTTCGGATTGCCGTATCTTTCTGGAATAGCATCTTATGATGTGTGATTTACCTACACTAATGTTTTTAGTACTGGGAATGTTTGGAGTTTGGACAGGGCTGTGTRGCCAGTTTAAGCCTTGTGTGAAGTGTCTTTTGGGTCGGACAGGGTAGTGTGTACTCCTACATGACCGGATGGTTGGTGTAGGCTGGTGTAATTGGTGAGATATGGGACCAAGCTACAGAAAACTGCATGATTATGTCTTTGCTTCCTTCTACTACCCAGCCTTCCTTAAGAAAGAATTTTATGTTGCCAGACACTAAAAAGGAGATATGGAACCAAGCTAAGGCCACTTATTCTGAGCAAAGACTAATGCAAGGAGACAAGAGTCTCTAACCCTATTTCACAGCCCTCAGAGGTGTATCAGGTGGCCTCTTGTTTCTGATCATCCAATCTGAGTTTATGATCTTCGGATTGCCGTATCTTTCTGGAATAGCATCTTATGATGTGTGATTTACCTACACTATTGTTTTTAGTACTGGGAATGTTTGGAGTTAGGACAGGGCTGTGTGGCCAGTTTAAGCCTTGTGTGAAGTGTCTTTTGGGTCGGACAGGGTAGTGTGTACTCCTACATGACCGGATGGTTGGTGTAGGCTGGTGTAATTGGTGAGATATGGGACCAAGCTACAGAAAACTGCATGATTATGTCTTTGCTTCCTTCTACTACCCAGCCTTCCTTAAGAAAGAATTTTATATTGCCAGACACTAAAAAGGAGATAGGGAACCAAGCTAAGGCCACTTATTCTGAGCAAAGACTAATGCAAGGAGACAAGAGTCTCTAACCCTATTTCACAGCCCTCACCTCCATATGGAAGGAACTTAACCACTATCAGTCAATAGAGTGAAAGTGTGAAGAGGATGCAAAAGCCTATAAGACCTTGCTGTCACGGCAGAGTCTTTGTTTTCTTAGTTGGCCTCAATCCATCTTATGAACCAATAAGAGATCAAATTCTGGGCTGCATGTATCTCCCTTAGTATATGGGAGGTTTATGCTCCCATACAGTCTAAGGAGAGCAAAAAGAATGCTATATGATTCCTGCTCAGGGGGAGTATACTGGCTTGGCTGCAAAGGGAGGTAGGGACGGAGCCAAGAAGGGTGACGTGATTGAGAAGAATGATGGAGTGAACAAGGATCAGCTGTGGTGTACACATTGTCAGAAATCCAGGAACACCAGAAAAACACATTGAAACCTAGTTGGCAGACCTAAGTAGTTTCCCAAGAAGCCAGAGGGAAAGAAGTTTAACACAGCTAATGTTGCTTCACAGGAGTCAATACCAACTACTACCACTACTGCTGTGTCCCAGGATCATCTGACAGGTTCTGTACCTAAGGAGGACCTCCTAAGAATCATTAGCATTATTCTTGAATAATATGGCAGGATATTGCACCAGATGGAGCATCCCTCAATCCTTCCATTTCATTTGCCTCTATACCAAGTAACCATGCTACTACCCTCCATGTCTCCTCTGTTTTTTCCGAGTCCCCATAGATAATTGACTCTAGGGATTCAAATCACATGACTGATAAGCCTAATTTATTTTCTTCCTATAGTTTGTTATCTGGTAGAGATAGCATAAGACTAGTTAATGAATCTTTTTCCACCACTGTTGGTCAAAGATTTGTTTCTCTTCAATGGGTAATGATATTTATCATGTTCTTCATGTTCCAAAGTCACCCATTAATTTTTTTATTTCAATATCTTCTGAAGGGCTACACAACGGGAGGGGGGGGTTGTTAGCCATCATTCTCTTGGAAGTCAAATCCTGAAAAACACAAGAGAGTAAAGAAGGTTACACAATAATTCAAAGACTTAGTAATAGTATTGCTAGATAAAAAATTAATAGTTTGTCAGATTCAAGTCAAGGTATTGAGTTTCAATCTGACAAACTATTAATCTTTTATATATCAATAGTATACCAAGTCTTTGAATTATTGTGTAACCTTCTACCCTCTTGTGTTTTCCAGGATTTGACTTTGAAGAGAATGATTTGATAATGGTCCATTTACAATGGAGAGTGGAGGTGGTCCAATGGCATTTAAGTCTGTTGGTTTCATGGGATGTCATCAAGTCCTTATAATAAACATCAAGTTTAGTTCTATCAAAAAAAAAAAAAAGAACAAGTTTACTTGTATCATCATCACCTTGGTCATTTCTCTTTTGAGTCTTTAAAGGTTTTGTTTCCAAAACTGCTTAAGTCGGTCCATATGTTGAACACCACATTACAATGTCAAACATGTCAATTGGGTAAGCATTATAGAGCCAATATTTCTCCAAGTAGTAAAAAATCCACTTTTTCATTCTCCATATTGTTTATTCAGATGTTCAGGATCCTACTTCTGTTATTGTTAAGGAAAGTTACAAACATTTTATTAGTTTTATTGATGACCACTCAAGATATGAGTGGATATATCCTCTTTGAACTCATGAAGAGGTGCCTAACATGATTATCGATTCACTCAATTCAATGTTGAATACAAATCTTTTAGTATGACAGTGCAAAGGAGTACTTTATGAGAGATTTAAAAGAATTATTTTCCTCTTGTGGTTCTCTTTATCATGGTTCCTATACGAGAACACCACAAAAAAATGTGTTACAGAACAAAAGAAGGGACATTTACTTGAGGTTGCGTAGAGTATGATGCTTCATATGCATGCTCCTAAGAGGTTCTAGGAAAATGTTGTGTTGATGCTACATATGCCCTCTTGTATCCTACAATATCAAACCCCATATCAGTTGTTATTCCCCCAATTTCAATTGTATTTCATTACTCTTCGTTTGTTTGGGAGTTGTTATCCCCCGTGTGTTTTTCTTGGGTATCCCTCTTACCAAAAGGGGTATAAGTGTTTTGATCCCCACTCCCAAAAGGTCTATCTCTCCAATGGATGTGTGTCCTTTCTTGCTTCCCCTAAAGAAGAGAATGTTATACTGGAGAGCCAAGTCCATCCTCCTATGACAGTTCCTGTGCTTGTTCTACTTTGTCTCTACAATCATTGCAATGAGGATCATCAAAATTTACAAGATGTGCTAGAAACCAGAAGCTGCACAACTGACAATAGCAAACTCTCAAGAGACAAATCTGCCATGTACTATTAATCCTATTGATGTTCCCTCTAACGTTATTCCTTCTACTGTTGTTCTTGTTGATACCCCAATTGATGTTGATGATCTTAATGTCCCTATTGCCCATCTGTAAGGGTGTATGCTCATGTACCTCCAAACACCCTATTGTTCATTTCACATTTTCACTATGTTTAGTCATTTATCCCCTTCTTTTTTAATTGTCCTGTCTCTATTGGAGTTGAAGCTTGTTTCTTTATCTCTCAGGTGAATGTTGGTCACCTTCCATTCTATTCTCTATTTCTTTCTTCTAATAAAATATTTCTTATAGATGGTACTGTTGAAAGCTACAAGGTGAGATTGGTGGAAAAGGGTTTTTCCCAAGTATATAGTGTTGACCAGGCAAAGGCATTTACTCCTATTGCTAAGATTAACTGTTTACTAGTTCTCGTCTCTAGCTGCTAATTTTGATTGGTGATGTAGACAGAAAAATAAATTACATGCAACAAGCACTTCAAGTGTACACCAATAATCACAAGAAATAACAAACTGAAAACAATAAAACAAGTTGGATTTTTAGTGATTTTAGACCTAAACCTGAAGTAACTCCCCCGGGAACAGTTCCAACGGTATCAAGCTGGCCTCCCGCATGGACACACAGCGATAGAGGGATTGGAAGGTGCCAAAATGGGTTGCTCCTCAAAACCCAAGCTCCCAATACTTGAAAACGCTAACAGCCCCCTTCTCTTTTATAAGATCCAATGGTTTGCCAGAAAAGCCAATGTTTTGCTCTCACAAAAACATAAACCCCTAGAATGTTTTCCTCTCACAAGCAACTCGTTAAAAATAAAACTAACTTCAAATGAACCCCCAAAAGATAACTTTTGTCACAAAAAGACCCAAGAAATCAAAACCCAACAGATGTGCACCCAACTGCCCCTGACTAGAATCTGAGTTATAAAATGACAAAAATACCCCTGCCCCAAACTGTCAACACAAAAACAACAATTTGGGATCCTACTAGAAAAAGAATGCAAAACAGAATACATTATTTGTTAAGAGAGAGGGAGCAAGATGGTCACACTGGTGTTTTTGGATGACATTGTCATTACTAGGAATTGGAAGTAAGAGATAGATAAGTTGAAGTAGTTTTTGGCATCACAATATGAGGTGAAGGATTTAGGTCTGCTATCGTACTTTCTTGAGATTGAAGAAAGGTGTCTCCATATCTTAAAGAAAGTATATCCTAAACCTTCTAAAGGACACTAGAAACCTGGGGCTCAAACAAATTACTTGAAGCTTATGAAGGGGAAGCCCTTGCAGATATTAAACAATTTCAGAGGTTGGTGGGAAGATAATACCTATCTATGATGAGACCTGATATCGTTGGGTTCTTAGTCAGCACATACATTCTCCCAAAACATCTCGTCGGTACAAAGAGGGTGCTTAGAAACTTGAAATAGCATACTAAGCATTGACATATCAAAGACTCAAGGTAGAAGCGTACACAGATGCTGATTGGCCAAGAACATAGATGGAAAAAGGTCTACAATTGGCTATTGCATTCTTGCAGGAGTTAATTTAGTCACATAGAGGAGCAAAAGGCAATCGATATTTGCCAAATCAAGTATAGATGTGGAATATAGCGCAATGGTCCATGGGGTGTCATAAGCTTTGCAGCTTAAGAATCTTCTAGGAGAGAGAATTTACTGTATGGCCCCAGGTCACTCTATTGTGACAATAGGGTAGCTATTAAAATAGCAACAAATCCAGTACTCCATGATAGAACTAAACATATCAAAGTGAACAATCCTTTCATATCAAAGAAGCTTGATATGGGTGAAGTGTGTACACCATATGTTAGTTCTAAAGAACAATTAGTTGATGTATTCACAAATGGTGTTAATGTCCTGTATCATAACGAGTTGTGTAACAAGTTGGGAATGATTTGACATTTATGACACAACTTGAAGGGGAGTATCGTAATACGTATCTTGTTAGATGTGCAAGGGAAAAATTGTCCTTTCACCATTTATTTCCAATGCCCTAATAAAAATAAGAGTGGGAGCAGTTGCCAACCCAATAAGATTCTCTAATCATTCTATTTTCTCTTTTTTCTATCTTCTCTTCTCCAATCTCTCCCTTCCATTTCCTAATGTATCAGATCTGATTATACACCCACATTTTGTAATTCATGTATAGCATCAACATTTAATTTGCTCATTTCTCTAAGTAGATTATTTGATTAAAGCCCACTTCTCTTCAGTTGATTTCAGGGACTTCACCCACTTATCACTTCTTTTTGGCTCAAATTTCCTAATTCTGTCATCCACCAAAAAGAATGATCTATTTTCTGAGTTCACAGCAATCACAAGTGATTGAATTACAAATCCATGCCAAGAAGCCTATGTGGTCCTTTGAGGACCACAAGTACAATTATGGCCATACCATTTACCTCTGGAAGGATAATCAATTCCAAAATACCCATGCCATTATATACAATTGGGAGTCAATTCCAAGGCTCGCATATCAATAAGAAATAAAAGATTGTGATTTAATGCAATTTACCATCATGGAATGGTATACAATAAGAAACAAAAGATTAAGAAGACATGTAATGCATAAAAAACTATTTGGCCTCTCTGGGATACAATACACGACAGATGAATAAGACAGAGCATTTAATAAGTTACCAGCATCAGTTCAATCCAAAACAGCACATAAGCATGTGAATGTCAAAAAAAAAACCTTCAACAATTCAACATAACCTACGAGACACATTTCAGGTCTTTTCCTTTAAGTATCACGAGTACTCAGGAAAATGTACAATGACAATGTCCTGTTTGAAAGTGCGAAAATTATATTATTTGCACATTCAAATGATAGTGTTAATTGTATGTTGTCTAAATCCCAAGTGGACATGGATTTATTTGAGAAGAAAAAAACAATAATTATTTTTATTACAATTAATTATGACAACCCATCTTAAAGAAAAATATAATATACGTATTACAGACCAGAGATCACACCAAAGAAAGTAACAGAAGAGGCAAAAATGATTGCAAGCACATACCGTTTTTTCCAGATTTGAAAACTATATCGTCAAAGCTGTCAGCAACAACCACCTTCACAGGTTCATTGTTAACTTCAGGAATAGGTTCTGACTTTTTGAAAGGCTTCAATTTTCCATCCTGCAACCATTAAGACAAAATAGGAAAAGTCACAAATAAAAAAAAAAAAAGATAAATGAATCTAGTATTAAGACCTCGAGTTTTTACTGCTTCAAAAATGAGAAACAATCATGATGATTTAACTAAGGAAAGATCAAACAATTATAAGCATTGATTAGATAATATAATAATGCAAGTAATGAAAATAAGCAAAAATGTTACCATGTATTCCTTCAACCAAGGTGCAATGTGATCAGGCTCCAAATTTGGCTTTAGGAATTTTGTGCCATCACTATTCTGTATGATAATGAGAGGCACCTGGTCGTTTTTAAGGCCAAAATACTGTCCATCCAAAACCAGTTTGGCATATAAATGTCAAAACGAATATAAGTGAAATAAGTAAGAAGGTAAATGTGTTGAATAAATGATATAATTACCTGGAAAGCACCTTCACTGGCCTCAACATCACCTAGCAGAAAGCCAATACCTTTTCCTTTGTAATGCTTAGCAACATCATGATATTTTGGTTTAAATGCATCAACAAGATCAGTGCTGAAGTTCAAAAACAGCATGACCTAGACATTCCAAAATTATGAAAAAAGGGTTATGGTATTAATATGAACTTAAAATTGTCAAAAGAGAGAAGAGGTTAAAAGAAGTTTTAATATTCAAATAAGATGCAGCATACAGTAGCCAGAATTCTGTTGAATCACAGTTCATATTTCATAAGTATAGCATTGACTTTCTCAAATGAAATCATGTGCAATTTTGACACAAAACACCAACTTAACAACAATAAATGACCCAATATTTTGTTTCACTTTCCATACTACTAAAAACTACTAATTATGTAAGAAAAAATGAAGCAGGCATCCATGATTAATCACCAATACAACTCCAACTGGCGAAAAAAATCTTCTGACAGATAAATTTGTCCTCCAGAGTTTATGAAGATTGGATCAAGCATTCTCTAACTCAAACTATTGTTGAACACAACCGGGCCCATAATGCATCAGGTTGGTCAGTTTGAACTTATTAGGTTGATGACCTAAATTTTTCTTGTGGTGAGGGGTCCCTTTGTAAAACAGAAGGCAAACAAACCAGAACAAAGAATGCTGATCTTAATCAATATACTCAGTATATAGTGTGGTAATCAAATGCACAGTTGCACGCAGCCAAGAAAGAAGATACTACCTTGGCATCAGGACTGTTGAAGAATTTTATAACATATGGGTGGTTGCTTGGATCCTTGTTGAAAAGTGTCACAATAGGCATGCTAGCTTCTTCAACAAACTTCTCCAGAGCATCCACATTAAAAATCTGCAAACAAATTCACAAAATAGCAGATTTATGGTAACTTTTAAAAGTCAAAAGTACAAAATTAAAAGAAAAAGATAAGAACATGAACTTCCTATTTATATATACCTGGAAATCAACAACAAGTTCATCAAATGGCTTGAACAACCTAACTGTGGGCCCATTGATAGTTGATTCACCTCTTGGAAGGAGTCTAGCATCCAAGGTATGACCAAAATCATAGTCAGAACGCAATTTCTCGGCTAATGTTGTAAAGTTCAAAAACTCCTCCCCAGAAAATTCAGAGAACACCCCAACCTATAAGGATGTCCAGAAACATTAGTAAAGATTGCCCCTTCCCCTTTCCATGAAGAAAAACAGGAGCTTAAATAAATGAGGGAAAACTTACAATAAAGATCCTTTTATCATCAATTAGATTACCAGCTTCTTCTACAGATTTTATTTCAGCAGATGCAGGACCAGCTTGTTTCTTCAAATATTCAACTATACCGTCAGCATCCCTAGGACCTTTGTACTCTTGAATATTCTTTCCACCATTTCTTAGAATCTTAAGTGTGGGGAAACCCCTAACATCAAACTGAGCTGCAAGTTCTCTGTTTGTGTCATCATTGGCATCAACCTTTGCAAGAATGACTGGAGGGTCATGGCTGCTCAATACTGATGCAGCTTTCTCATACTACAGGTCAAAGAACAAATTTAAAGATGAAACAAACCATCAGGACACAGATAAGGCAATTGATTGGATAAAACAATGGTAGCTAAGACTTAAGCAAGATTAAACAGGATCATAATATGATTATTTGTCATTTGAGATAAGAAACTTGATTACCTCTGGAGCAAGGTTCTTGCAATGCCCACACCTATCAAAATGTCAAGGAAGATAGAAGAAACAGGTCAAAAACCAAGGAAAAAATCAGATTTAACATTTTCAAACAGTGGAAATTTAACTGACTAAAAACTCCAAATGAACATTGGAAAGGTCACAAAATAACTTTCTAGACATTGATAGTTAAGCAAAATACAAGAGGTAGGTAAATGCTGTAGCAAACATGGGGGTCTTTGAAAACTAGAACATAACAAGTTTTTGTTTTTATTTTCCTTCTCTTCATTTTTCCACTGGCACTGCGTATCATAAAAAAAATTAAAATAAAATAAAAAGAATTTAGCACGCCTATGAAACATAGAGACATAATCACATTCTATGAAATTTTAAAACACCCATTTGAGCATTTTAAAATATAAGAATGTCAAAATGATGATGATCTCAAGGACAAAACAGGAAAAAAAGGATTTCCAAAGTGCTATCCCTTGCAGAACCCCCACACCCACACTTAAGGGGAACAGACATTACATGCTTTGGAGTCTAATATTTTAATCATTTCGTCCGAACAAATAAACCCAATGGTACAACCATTGAAGTAGGAAACTAAAATCTGGAAGTTGGATAATGTAACACAAATATGAATCACCACTGTAATATGGGAATACAGATCAGTCTTGATGAGGCAAGGCCTCGAATAGGTTAATAAATTAATCGGTACTTTAATGGTTCACAAAAACCAACGTTCAAATCGCTCTTAATCAATTCTCAAACAACTAGAACTCGGCCATTGTAAAGGAAAAAACCTTTAATAAACAGGAAGTTCGATCCTTGTCGAAGGACCAAAACCCACAATTTCAAATGACCAGAAGACTACGGATCAAAAAATTCAGAGTATCAAGCATCCGACACCTCGGGCAAGGACAAAAGATCAATATTCAGAAAATTAACCTCTTATCAACCGGTTTTTATTGAAATTTTAGCCCTGCAAAAAAAAGTCAAAATCTTCTTAATCTCACAAACAAATCTACAGATTAAGATGTATTCACCATTTCATGCAGAAAAGCAGATCAAATTAACTTCCACCCCATCAAACACATAGGATCGCATAATCACATCCAACAAAAGGAAAAAAAAAATACCTTTTACCAAAGACTCCCTTTTGCAAGCTCATACCAAGCAAACCAACTATTGTCATCCAAAGAAATAGAATTCGAATTGAATTCCAGATAGAACAACTCAAAGCAACTTAGAAATTAAAGAAAAACGATGATGAAACTAAAGTCATTAGAAGAAAAACCCCATTATCCATGCACAGAGAAAAATCGATCTGTGACAGCATAGAAAATCTAAGGAAAAAAATTGAACTTCAAGAAATAGTAAAAAGTTAAGATCCACACCATGGAGCATAGAACTCCACAACGATGAAGTTGTGCTTGCTGACAGTTTCAGAGAAGTTGGAGTGGTCGAGTGTCACAACGAACTCCTCACTCTGCCCCTCCCCTTCCGAGGCAGATGCCAAACTAATCGAAGAAACGAACAAAGCAAAAACAAAGAAACAGAAGCAAATCGAAACTCTAGTCGCCATGATCGGAGACCAAAGTTCTCTGGTTCGAGCTACCCAACAAATCCTCTTCGACCTTTGCGTGAGATATTTCTGAAAGAGAGAGAGAGAGAGAGAGAGAGAGAGAGAGAGTTACAAGAGTAATGAAGATAATCGAGTCGACATGAGACCGTTTTCCCATATATAAAATGACCCAGTTGGGGGCCCAGAGGGCCCAGACCAAGAGGGGGATTCCCCTAAATCCGCTCTAATGGGCCTAAAACGGAAAGGCAATTGAATGTAATGAGCATCTTCTCTTTATTACATTTGTGTCTTCATTTTAGCCGTGAACTGAATCAACGGTTAGAAATTCATCATATTTCTTACATCTCTGGTTTTTAGGGATTTTATTAGTGTGCTAATTAATGGGCGTATGCAACGTGGATTATGTTCATGGTCGAATCTGTAGGAAACGTGGGCCGCGGCCCATTTGGTTGAACGGTCTGATTTGAGTTGGATGCATGGTGGGCCCAATCTTTTGAAGTATAAACTCTTGGACCAGGTATAATGAATGAGACTCATCATCCTGTCATCATAAGGATGAACACCACGTGGTCTAATTCAGTTGGAGATGTCGAGTTGTCAACCAGTGAGTGGTGGCTTTCTGTTGGAAGACGCCGATTGGTTGGATTGATGTCATCGCTCTCGGTTTTCTTACAAACCCGAAAAAAAAAATGGAACAGACGTAGCCACGTTGGCATGTTAATGTAATAGTGGGTTGACCCGAGATCCGATCTTGTACTTTATCAGCAGTTTTCTAGTGGATCTTATCTAGATCCAAATTGTATATGGGTTTAGGTACGAAACTCGTTGGTAATGTAAATGATCTGGGTACAATTTTGATTTATGTTGGTTTCAAATTTTACCTTGCTTTGCTTGATTGCAGTTCAAACGAAGTAAAATAAAATATGAAGCAAATAGAGCTAAACCCGAAGTAAAATTAAAACAGAATTTATATTATTTTTATTTGCACTACCATGCATTTGTACTAGTGCAAATAAAATTGTAATGTAAATACAGTGTCTGATGTCTCTGTAAAAATGTATTTTCATATCCGATCCAATTATAAAGTGATTCAAATTTGGACCACCTCAATTGCATCTTAGTGCCCTCCCTATTCAAACTTGGATCACCTTATTTGTATCATAGTGCCTGTTTGGGAGGGCTGAAGCACAGTTGTTTCTGGCTTTTAAAGGTGGGACCTACTCGGACAGATGTTTGATGAAAAATCCACAGAGCCTAGATATGCCATCAGTCAGTCATTGGAAGAGAGTTTATCGGAAGTAGCTGAACCAGCTTTGCTGAGTGCTCGTTTGGAGGGCCTTATGGCTTCTAGCTTTTGCAAGGCGGGTCTCATACACAAAGCCTAGAAACCATATTTGGTGAAAATCCTCAAAAGTCCTAATAGGCTTTTATTCAGCCAAAAAAACGACTTTAGTAGCTTCTTCAAAGCAGTTCGGGCCCTGAATCAAAAACCCTCCCAAACGGACCCTGAGTCCCAAGCTCAAACCTTCCAAACAGTCCCTTATTTGCAAACCTGTGGGTTATGTTATTTGCAAACCTGTGGGTTATGGTTAAATAGCAGTACCCAAGCCCAACCAAAGCAAGAAGGAAGCGGCAATAACAGCCCATTTTGCTTTTGAATCTTGTTTTTGGTAAAAGTTTTCATTCAGAGCAAGGTTCAAATATCACAATGTATCGGACTATATCGAGCCCAAAACAGTCCAAAACAAGTATAAATTCTTTCTTCCGTTTCTTTACGTACATATTGGCCGATACGAGCCCAAAACAGTCCAACACAGTTCGATACATTTGATTGGTTCATCATTAATTTCCTTAATCAATATTTAATATCAAATCTCTCATTAATGTCATTACTATTATATTTAAGTCTAATTTCTCTTTCATTACTTAGTCAACTATTCCAAAGCAAATTTAAATTTGAATTTGAATTTTAGCGCCTAATTCAAATTCTCTCATTAATTAATGATTCCCTCTCATTAATTTTGTTTTGTTAGTGTACAAACTTCAAATTTTAGCTATAGCAAGATTTCAACCCTGGTCACTAGATTTTAATAATCATAAGTTCGCCAATGAGCCACACATATTTGTTTACTATGATCATATGTATTTTTAGTTTTAAGTAAATTTTCACTTTTATTAATGAGTGACAAGTATTTATTAATAAATGTTATAATTAATTATTAAAATTTATATACAAATAAATATTATTAATTATATTGGTTTTTTGAAAATTGACATTCACTTTTTAGTTTTTTTTTTTTACATTTTAGTTATTCCATCATTTTTCAACGGTTATTAATTATGTCCCAATATGTCACACTTTATATAAACCACTAAATTATGGTTTTTTTACATTTAAATGACTTGTTTATAATCATATAAAATTTGTAAATATTATTAGTAATATATTTTTTAGGATTTATTTGAATTTTTTACCATATTTATGCGTATCTTGATTTTCCGTCTGTATCCATACGTATCCAAAGTGTATCCTGATACAATTCTTAAAATTGTCTTTTCGATATACCTTGCATTAGGGATGTTCACAGGTCGAGTTGGGTCAATTTACTGATGTTTTTCCAACCGACCCGACATGGTCGGGTTACCTGAAATTGAAATCGAAACCGACCCTGTGTTAAGCAAAACCAACCTGATCGGTTTGAGTCGGTTTGGATCGATTTCGGCTCTTAGTGGTGACTTAGTTGTTGTACAACCTAATTTAAAGTTAGGTTGTAACTAAGATAGAGACAACTTAGTTAAGTGGGAACTAAGTATCATCGGTTTATGATTTTTTACAACCCGAAACCGACCGGTGCTAAAGAAAACCCGGCCAACTCGGGTTGAGTCGGTCCGGATTGGTCGGGTTGGGTCATCTTATGAACAGCCCTACCTTGCATTTCCGATACTTTGAACCTTGATTCAGAGGGACTTGTTACTATAATGTAGAGGGCATTTGAATTGAAAATGCTTATGTTTGGTTTGAAAGAAAATAAAAGAAATAGAAAGTTGAGGGAAAGTTCTTAGAACAGCCAAACACAGCCTACATCATAGATATGTGGGAAAGAATGCTAGAAATCTATACTACCTATAAAGGGCGAATGCCCCTTCTTTCTAGAATTTTCATTGGACGCTTTCTATCTCCTTTGTCTAAGCACACAACGGGCATAAAGAGGATATATATGTCCTTCACTTTCACTTTAGAAACTGCCCACTTATAAATAGTTTTGTCTTAGAGATATTGCCACATGCAAATGCACGTACATGTTTGGTAGTTTGAAGAAAAATGAGGAAGAGCAAAAGGAAACTTATCTTCATCCATCATCAAATCCAAAATGAACAGAATGATATAGAATAATTAGAATAAGATTACTAGGGAATGATTTTCACACCAAGGCTTTTCTCATACTGCATTTTTCCCTACCTAAACTTACCTTCTGAACAACAAGACTTCCTCTTCATCATTACATAAGATTCATTCAAAATTTTGAAAATCTCAGCTCTGTATATGCATGCAAATCCTCCTTTGAAGAACCACTGGCCCATCCGTCAACTAGTCAACCAATAAACCAATAAACGAATTTCTGTACATTCCTGCCTAACTACTACTGGGTTTTCTGCAGAACCAAAACCTTTGGACAAAGAGATCATCAAGCTAGTGCCCATCTAAGTCCTTTACTCGATGCATGTTGTCTTCCAACAACTGGTTGTCTGGTTCCACACACCCCCTCTGGCTGTATCCTGTATGATGATTCTGTATATATATGTTTTTTCGAAATCTCTTACCATTATGCCTGAAAGTGACATGTAAAAATTTCTGAGTGCAACAACCATTGACCTTATAGCCCCACTGCCACCTCTCGCCACTGAATCAGGGTTCCCTTCAAGGAACCCAAGCCGGATTGAAACATGAAAAGAGCATACTTGCCTGTTTACGTGCCGCCTCCAGCATTTTCTATTCTAACTCGTTTATAAGCATCAATGCTCATAGAGGTAAATTTCTCCAAGGCCTTGAAGATTGGGATCAAGCCAGACTGTAAACTATTGGAAGCAGCCGCATGGACTTGTTTAACTGTTTCCTCATGTCTGGCTCTCTCTTCTTCCAGTCTCTTTCTCATGGAATCCAAATCCACCTTGAGATCATCCAGTGCAGACACTCCACTTTCAGTATTAGCTGCTGACAATGTCTTGTCCGATAATGCATCTTGATCCCACTTCTTCTTGCTTTCCTCCTTCCGCAGGGATCGCAGACGTTTATCAAAATCCTTGGATAGGTATGCAGCCTTAAGTCTCTGGCGTTGCTCCTCATCTTGCTTCTCCCATAGCTGGCGCAAACTTGAGGCAAAAGCATGCATCTTGTCTTCCACCCCCGTTTCTAAGTTTTTCTCTGAGATTTCCAGAATTGTATCACACCAATCATTGCAAATAACAAAAGCCAGGGGAGCTCCAGCCCTTCCTGGGGAGAAGGGGACCAGTCCATCAGGTGTTTCTTCTTGTTCCTGGTGCAGGCACCTCTTAAGCCATTCATTCAGGGACTCAACATAGGCTTTCTGGGTGTTAATCCAAGTATGGAAACAGGAAGACCAGTTAAGGAGCTGCAGCTCCAGTTCCAAGGTAGCCCTCAAACTTGAATCTCTTCGTACACCAGTGTTTGCCATAAGCGTATGACTTTTACTTTCTATGATGGCTTGGAACTGCTTCTGATGGCACTTCAACAATGACATGCACGTTCTTATTAACCTACACATAAAATCATGATCTTCTGAGAGAGTGACGCCAACAACACTATAAAGCCTAAAATCATGCAAAGGTGTAAACAACTTAGAAATATCCAGAAAACATTTAAGTAGATTCAAAAGTCTATCTACCTATCTACCTGCGTAGAGAGAAGTACAGGAAAGAATATCACAATAAATAGGCTTGACTCTACTTAAAGGATCAAGGAACACCAACGGAAGAAACAAGACAACCACAATGAAATTGGTAACCAATGCTTCATCCCACCAAAAAAAAGTAAAGAAAAACTCAGAATCATAATCCAAAAATTAGAAGCTGGTCACATGCCAAAACACAAGGACATGTTTTTAAATCTCCGAGGAAAAAAAGGCTTATTTAGACTCCTCGCAAACTGCTGCTTTAATAAAAAAAAAAGGAAAAAGTGAAGCATACTACATATCATGAGCATTCATTATACACTAGTAGCAAAGGAAGTTATGGAACCTAAGGTATCTCAAAATTAAAGGAGATCTATCTGAGCATGCACAAAAGTTAATCATGATTCCACAAAAGATGGAAAGTAAGCAGGTCAGAAAAATTAGTATGGACTCAAGGGATTACAACCATGCACTGAATGCTAGCCAATAATTTCCATAACTCTATGGATCTAAGGCCCATAAGAAAATTGATGTTTTACCTGAAAAATGCAAATTGTCAATCCCCACACTGAATAAGTTCATTTGAAAATAAATGTAGATTTTTCCCTAGCAGGTTCGAAAAATGGTATGGACTACAGAGATTACAACCATGCACTGAATGCTATCCAATAAGAACTCTATGGATCTAAACCCGGTAAGAAAATTGATGTTTCACCTGAAATGCAAATTGCCAATCCCTGCACTGTATAAGTTCATTTGAAAATAACTGTAGGTAGGCTGCCCTAGTCAAAAGTTTTCCAAATAAACAGTCATGCATACATTCAAAAACTGAGATTTTTCTCTAGGCAAGAATAGACCATGAAGCTAATAATATATTTGCCTTGATAAGTTAGATGAATGTTGGGTACGGGGAGGGGTTCAAAGAGCATGATGCTAGGAAGAACTAGGAACCTAATGAGTTCAACAGACCCAGCTGGTAAAGGGATCTCAATGAGAGAAGAACTCCTTGCATTGTTTCAGGGGGTTGAAACAGGCTTCTTCAGCTGTATGGAATTGGTCATTGAAGGGGACTGCCAGGCTGCAATTGTAGATTTATCTTCTTGGGGATCAGACCCTTGGACCCTAAGATACCAAAACAGAGGAGCAAGAGAATTGGCATATAATTTGAACTGCTCATTCACTTGGTAGTGTGTAATGTAGCATTTATATATTGCACAAGTATACTGGGGATATCAAGCCAATTAAAGTAGGAAGCAGTAGCCAGCTAATCACATTGGCAAATGTGGTACCTTTCTTGGGGGAAAGGGGATCTGTGCATGTGAGACAGTTGTGAGTAGCATAGTATTGCTTTCTTTCTTTTCTTTGCTTTTCGTTTTTCTTTTTTTTTTATTTGGCTTCTCCATGGAGGATTGTGAGACTTTAAAGGGACTGTTAATTGGTTTTGGTTCCTTCTGTTTCATTCTTTGTATTGATTTATTTACTTTTTTAGGGGGGTGTCTAGTTTGATGATTGGTTGTTTTGTCAGCTTCCTTGAGGCTTAACTGGCATTCAACAACATATTCAAACCAAAGTAATTCATCATCATCATTTAAGCCTTATCCCAACTATATGGGGTCAGGTACATGAATCCTGTTTTTCCATTCCATTCTATTTAATAATTAATATACATTGCCAAGTATGAGCACTCAAACCAAAGTAGTTGATCTTCCAAGTAAACGCAATATCAGAAGTGTTATTTATGAACAAGACTAAGAAGATAAATCCAACTATGGCTTTTCCTCCCTAAATCATAAACATTATAAAGTATGCAATATGCCAAATTAAAATAAAAAATATAGAAGAGTTACACTTTGATACCCATGAATCAATTCTGTAAGTTGGGGCTGCAATTCCTCATCTCGTAACTTGTGTATTCTGCCTGAAATAGCATCAACAGATCTGATAGTAACATCAATTTTTGCAACCAACTTTCTAATTGAAGCTTGAGTTGCATCAATCTTATTGGGCTCCGCACCAATGGCATCTAAAACCTTCAACCTCTTGCACTTCTTTTCATAGATAACTCGAAGTCTTTCTTCATCCTAAAATTAGTCCAACCACCTAAACAAATTAAACTAAAATTGGCCAAGAACTTGAATATAAACAGAGCACTCAAGGAATGACTAAAATGATGTAAAATAATATAATTATACAAGAAAGTATCATGGAAACCAAATCCAACATGCATAAGATAAAAGCACGAGGTACAAATAACCCATCAAAATACCAAAGTCTGAGGGCAAGGTGACGATCATATGACACTGGAAACCAAGATCTAGATTGTTCCCTAGTTCAACTAACATACTAGACTTGACTGAGCAACGTCATGATTACATGAGTTGAAGCCAGGAAGACAAAAAACCAAGAAGTTTCCTTAGTTCAAATAACAAAACATAAAGGTGCCATGATTCAAAAGTAGACCAAATTCAAATAGGCATGGCTCGTAAGGTCTAGTAGATCATTTGTCTGAGGGAACAAGGGAGTGGACTACCAACCACTTGCAAAAGGTATGCCTCCTCATCTTTGGGTGGAAGAAGTAATGCTCTAAAACTGTGGATTATTTATTTCTACAGCAGCAATCTATATCTATATTATAAGAGAGAGGGAGGACACGAGTCTGACCTCAATACTTGCATGTGCCTCTTTCTCCTCTCCTTTCTCACATGTAGTTTATTAATTTTTAAACTAAAAGTATAAAAATCACATAATCATCTCAAGTCTTAATTATCTCTGATAAAATCGTTTTTAACCGTTTCTCTCTCCAATAGTTAGTGTTTTTAAATTTTAACCTCTCCCCTCCACCATTAAATTCTCTCTCTCTCTCTCTCTCTCTCTCTCTCTCTCTCTTAAATCTCTCTAAATCCATCTATTAAAGCAGGGGTATAAATAGGATGGGTTGGTGGAGTTTAGGGCCAACCCAAGTCTATCCCTAGACATGGACTTTGAGCCAACCACAGACCAAGATCAAATCCCAAGTTTGCCAACTCAAACCCCACTTCAGCTAAATCTAACACAACTTAGCCCCTGTTTGAGAGAGCTTAACTGCTTATTGGATGAGTGCTTAAAAAACTAAGTGCTTATCCTAATAAGCACTCATGAGTGTTTGTTGAAAAAGCACTAATTTCAAACAAGGGTAGACGGGCTTCTAGAATAAGTGCTTAAAAAAGATCAAAGCTTGAGCTTCTTGAATAAGTGATTAAGCATTTATTTGACTTATTTTCCAATTGCAAATAAGTGCTTATTGGTGCAGTCCCGACCCAAAATAAGTGCTTGTTAAAATAAGCACTCCCAAAAATAGGCTTGGATGGGCTCAGGTTGGTCCAATTGGACTTGGGCAGGTTCTTCAAATTTGAAAGACTTCCTACTAGGGTAATCATTTATAGCCCGGCCCAAAGGCCCCAAACAATAATATATGTATACATTATATACATATTTGTATTATTCTATATTATATGAAATATAAAATATATATACAAATAAACCTTATATATGAAATGCATTGCCTAAACACCATAAATCTTATATAGTAATTTGTAACTTAAAACCCACCATTTATGCAATGCATTGCCTAAACATATGTTTCTAATATAAATCAACATCATCACCATCTAAACCTTGTCCAAATTTTATGGGGTGAGCTATACATGACCATGAGAGTTTAGCAAAAGTTTTAGTGCCAGCTGCCAACCTGACACAACCCTCCTCCTTTATCCGGGCTTGGGACCGGCAGTGTAAAACAAGCTCACACTGGCGGAGTTATGTTTCTAATATAAATGATTTTTATATTTAAAGAAAATATTCAAATAGGGATAAAAGGCCAAAGGAAAGAGCCAAGACACACAACAAAACCCTCACCCATTTATTAAAAAAGTGAGAAAAAAATAGACCTTCAAAGTCCCCCAAAATCGATGCCAAATAGACTAAGGTTCTCTCTCAATGACCCGAACAATAGCCTGACCATCACGAGACATTCCCATAAAAATTCCATTTGGTCCTTCCAAATACACCAGCATAGAGCAAGAGGCACAAGAAACCATAAGATTTGGCCCTTTTTATTGTAGCGTTTGACTGGCCAAGCTTGAACAAGGATTTTCAAGTTAGAAGGGATAACCCATTGCCATCCAAAATTCTTGATGAAGTGTCACCAAAGAGAAGAAAAAGCTGAAACCTACTGTTTAATTTGAGGTGGCCTAGTAGTGGAGGGGAACTATCAAGTAGTAATAGTATGTAAATCTTCTAATGCTGAAGGGCGTTGATCTTAAGAATTCTGCATAAGGAGGCTAAAGGGCTGTTTGATAATGGCTGAAGTGGCTGAACCAAATGGATTATTGCTTTGTATTTTAGTGAATAGAATTAAGCAGGTTCTAACTTCTAAGCTCTTTAATGGCATGTCAGGTTGATTCCTATACTTCTAAACATTTTATTATATGATTTATTTATTCAATAAAAGACAAAGTGATAAATCATTCAATTCAGCCCATTCAACTGTTATCAAATGGTACTGACCCTTAAGGCTTTAGCTTCTCCTCTTAATAGCCCATAAAGGTAGCTTTCTTGTTCAGATAATACCAAGCTAACACTCTTAATAGAGAAGAGGCATGAAGATTGAGCTCAGATAATGCTACCCACAAGACACAACAGCTGCACATCAAGAACATCTCATGAATGACAACAGAGATGTTCCCAATGTGCAGCTATAGAATATTGTGGGTAGTGTTGTGGGTACTGGGTAGCACATCCAGATTCATGAATATTAGACATTGTATATCCAAAGCCATGTAGTAAGGCCATTACCCAATGTTGGTCCTAGCTATCTAGGGTCTCAGACTTAAACCTGCGTTCTCATACTTGACAGCCAGAATTTTACCATTACACCACCTTGTCAGCCATGTGCTATCTTTAATTGTCTTAGTAAGTTAGTATTTCTTTACTGAAATTTGTATTGTCCTCTGTTACTAGATCCTCCTAATAGCAGGGGCTTTTCTGGTCATTAGTAAAATCTATTTTCAATGGCGTAACAATTGAAAATAATAAGTATAAATCTATACTATATATAAAAGTGCGAATGTAGAGTGAAGTTTTTTTCAGACTAAAATAACCCTCTATTTCTTTATTTGAGAAATGGTATAAAAGTTATTTTATTACAGCTTTAATGCAAGCTTCACTTGCTACTAAAATACTCATATTTGTGTATTTAGTCCATCTTTAATTGTAAGGGTTGAAAATATGACTTCAATTATTATTTTCCGCCTAATTTAATCCCCTCTCATTAAGTCTTATAATTAAGGTATTAACTCTCATTTTCTCTTATCACATTCTACATTTAAGTTATTTTTCACTAATAAATGCTACTAATTAGATCTTTGTCAATATTTTTAAACAATATAAACCCATATAATTTAAAATTGATTCAAAAACAAAACCATTTTTTTATCCAGGTGGTGGCTTAAGCAATTCAACCATCCGAATCAAATTGATAAATCTATGAAATCATAATTACGTAATAAAATTTTTTAAATAGAAATAAATATAGAAAATTATAAAAATGTAGAAAAAATTAGACGCATTTATGATATTTTTATTAATCAAATTAAAAAAATAATTGTAATAAACAAGACTTATTTTTATTGATAACGAAAATGAAATACATAATTAGAACTGACCAAAAATGAAATTATGTTACTGTTTGGGAAAGATCAATAGTTCAACTTTTGGGTCAAATGTGTTAACCTTTAATGTCATAGATAAATAAATAATAAAACTTAAATAAAATATAAAAATAAAAATACATGAATTTTGCGAAAAAAAAAAAACATTCAGGCACATGTATAATATCATATATTTATCATATTAAGCAAAAAGTAAGTGCGACATATCAAAATTATTTTTACACAGAGAAAAAAAAAATATATATATATATACATAGAAAAAATTGAACACACCTATAATTCTATATTTATACTACTATTAAAAATATGAATAAGATTGTGGAATCTTCTTTTGACTAAAATGCTCATTTTTAAATTTAGTCCCTATTTAATTGTGAGGCTTAAATTGTAAAGTGAACCACTACTTTTCACCTCATTCAATTCCCCTATTTAAATCTCACATTTTTATTTGATAAATGAACAAAAAAAAAGATACACCAAAAAGATAAAACATTGCAAAAAGAAGAGTCTAGCCAAGCAGGTAGGCCTGTCAATGATACTTGTAACTTCACAACTTGATCCGATTACCACATATTTGGATGAGGTGTTTATGTAATCGAATTTGGATTTTGCATTTTGCATCCAGTTGATAATAAAAAACAAAAAATATATAAAAATAAAAAATACATAAAAGTTTATAGAAAATTTTGGGTACATTATTACTATCATTAATCATTATCATCATCTAGAATTGCCACATGCAAAGCACGTGCACATTTATTAGTAAAAATAAATAGGCATACCAATAAAAGCTAAAAGCAGATAAATAAAGAATCTTGGTTAGGGATTGCTTGCTCACAAATCAATGGAGCCATCGAGGAAACATTCGGGTGTTCAGGCAATCTAGTTTGTATATTTGTTAAAAACCATTGTGAGCCCTTGAGGAAGGAGTAGTCAAAATACCACCATGTTTTAACAAAGTGTACAACTAAAATTATTTTATATATTTCAACCATCATACAATTTGGCAGAAAAAATTGTAATAATATCAAATAGAACATTTATAAAAGACAAACAAGAAAGAGAAAACATCAAAAAATTGAGAACATAAAAACAGCAAAAGCTAGTTCACTATAATCACATAAATTTAATGTATTGTCAATCCGTGGTGCAGACTATTTTATTTTCTATGGTTAGAAAGTACATCCCTATTCTACCAAAAAAGAGTGGATTCCTCAGCTTCAATATTACAAAACATAGAAAAGACAAATAAGAAAGAAAAAACATCAAAAAATTGAGAGCATAAAAACAACAAAAGTTGGTGTTTACTATAATCACATAAATTCAAATGTATTGTCAATCTGTGGTGCAAACTATTTTATTTTCTATGGTTAATAAGTACATCCCTATTCTACCAAAAAAGAGTGGATCCCTCAACTTGCGATAATATTTATCCATAATCCAATCATAACTAGAACATGTCACTTGTGCAATTATTGAAAGAAATGATATTCTACAATCACTTAAACATTTGTTTTGGAATTGTTATATCTTGATTAGTCATATGTTTTAGCCCATCAGTTGTTATTACATACTTGAAAAGGATGCTAGAATTAATTACCAAAAAATAGAAAAGGAAACTAGAATTCAACATAAGTGGTTAAGAAAATATGCAATATGAGAATGATAAATCACTTTTTGTAATTTAACGGGATGATCACCAATATGCATTACATTGTTTTTCAAAACCAAAAAAATAATAATACAACTGCCACATCATCCAATGTATATTGATTTCATTGAAGTGACAGTTGTTTTTGTTTTTACAAACAAAACCATGCATAATGGTAAACACCCCCAAAAGTACTGATACTACAATAATATTGACATGTGTAGTATATCTATATCTATACTATTGTTAAAAATGTGAATGATAGTATGGAACTTTTGTTTGACTAAAATACCCCAATTTTTAAATTTAGTCTTCTAATTTTAAGGATACAAATATTATTTGAACAGCCGCTTTTCTCCTCATTCAAATCCCACTCATTAAATCTTATGTTTAAGGTATTAGCTCCCATTAACATGTATTAATCCTCTTCTTGATTAGAAAACCCCTTATTTTTTAATTTGGTCCCTCTCTAATCGTGAGGTCATAAAATGTAATTTGAACTACTACATTTCTCCTCATTCAAATCCTTCTCATTAAGTCTTAAATTTAGGGTATTAACTCCCATTCTTTCATTGAATCCTATAATAATTAACCATATTAAAGAAAAAAAAGTGTGAGAAAGAATAATTGTTTTATTGATGATAGAAATAAAATACAAATTTAAAACCAACTCAAACATGGAGTTGTTTTCATGTTTGGTGGCAAGTCAACAATTCAACCTTTTGGGTCAAAATGTGTCAACATAATCATCAAAAATTAAAAATAATAATAAATTGTAAAAAAATTGACAAATAATAATAAAAAATAAAAAATATGAAAACATACAAAAATAAGTGACAAATAAGAATAATTTTTAGACATAAAAATATAAAAAAAATTGTAAAAAAATTGGAAACATATTATTTACTATAGTCATCAACATAGTCATCAAAAATTCCCACGTGCACACTTACTAATCCATTTAAAAATTAGTACCAATCAGAGTTTTCAACTTAGTGTTGACCCGCCCAATAGGACTAGTGACCCAGTGACCTACACACAATCCCAGTTTGGGTCAACTTCTAACCTGCTATATTATAAATGGCATTGACTTGGTCAAAACCTATCAACATGGACAGTTGAACCACACATAATTAATTAAGATTAAATTCAAATTCATTCTAGTCCATTTAAAACTACAATACTTGAAAACATATATACAACATATAATTACAAATTACTTAGTGTTATAATCAACAAAATATTAACTTGTCCACTATGGATATCATGGAACAGAGTCCAGCCTGACAAGTAACTTCCTTATAAAGTTTGTTTTCCCATAAACAAGGAAATTGTGGAGAAACAATGATTTCCTTACACATATAATCACCAAGCATCAAAATTCAGATACAATCAGTTGAAATAAATGGTATACCTTAACTTCCTTATAAAGCTTCTTTTCCCATGCATAAAGCTTTTCCAAAGTTGATGAAAGACTCCCAGACTGAATACTAATACACTCTGTGTCCCCATTGTTGGCCCTTGACATTCTTAATATGTCAGGAACAGCTTGCCGCTGCTGCCTGGATGGAGGTTGTGAGAATGCCATTACTGGGAAAGATATCAAATCTAGAATCCTGGAAGAGATCACTGTACAAAGGCACATAAGTTCCACGGTTGTAGCAACCAGATGGCTTAAATATGTGGATCAAAGGAAACAGAGAAAAAAGGAGAAAAGAAACATGGATAAATTCCATAGATATGCATATAGATATTTTATCTCCAAAGTTTTGTTTTGCAATGAGTTCTCAGTTGCACATTTCAACTACCAAAGAAAAAACAATACTCAATTAGAGCAGCTCATATTGTAGAACCACCACAAACCAGATTGGTTTAGCAAATTATGATTTATGAAGCCAAATAAAACGAGCACTCTCTTGGATTTTTTATAAACGGAAGTAGTTTTGTTAAAAATGGAAGAACTCCATGCATTCCTCATAAATGGAAATGTAGGAGACAAATCAACAACATGCCAGTTATGGCCCTCTCGTTTCTACTTTAATATCTTTGCTTTTACAACATTTCCTCCAAACCTTGCAAACCCCACAATGAGTTTTCCTTTCTAAACCCTTCCCCAACTAAAGCATCAACCACTGTTTGCTGCCTTGGTAAGAACTCCTTGGGATTCACAACACATTCAGGAAATCATGATCCAAGTAAATCAAGCCAAAATCCACACTGAATAATTTTGGGCCAAATAATATAGAAAGTTATCTTTTAGTACCACTGAGATCACAGACATAATGTGCTTATAATAAAGCCAGCAAGTCTAATACATTGTGGTTTTTGTGAGGGTTTTTACCTTTCATAGTTTATTGGCTATCGTGGGGAAAACAGCTGAGGTTTTTGGTCAAGCAAGGAGGTATATCGATTATTGGTCTATTATTCAGAGAAAGCTGATTTGTAAGTAATGAATGGAAAGAAAACAGGTTAAAATAGGAATTTTTTTTGAGAAATTATTGGAACTACAGTCCCCAAATGCCAACATTTCCAATTGAAAAAACACCTAGAATAGACAAAAGAACATAAAGATGAGGTCATTGTCCTTAAAATAAAATGGGAACGAGCATCTCAACTTCTTAGCAATAGAGAACAGGAGAACTTGAAAAAATAGTGAAGTCCTACCTTTAAGTATAGCACCCTTTGGCTGATAACGCAGCTTGCCCACCTCAAGCATCACTGAGACCTCTTTCCCATAATCAGAAGCAGTGACAAATTCATCCCTGATTTCCTTCACGACTTCCTGAAGGTCCCTTGTGCCATGGGTAGAAACTATTGTTGTTAGGCTACTTAACTTTGAGGATTCCACATCCTGGGCCGATCCTGCTTCTACCTCAAAACTGACCCCTTTCTTCCTCGCAGAATCCTCCTTTTCCACGCTTTTTGATGCCAATGTCTCCGGACTGCTCTTAATCTCTTTCTCCTGACCTGAACTCGTGCTCTCATTATATTGTGATGGAACTGCCTTAGAAGTCCCCTCACCTGAATCTTCCATTATATCTTCCTCCAACTGTTTCCCCTTCCGTCCTCCTTTCAAGGACTCTTGCTCTGTATCATCTTCCAAATCAGGAATTCCCTCTCTCTTCCGTACTTCCATCGAATCAGGACTACTAGCACTGGATCCATAACCCCGATAATGGTACCTGGGATAACCGCTGTCAAGTGAATCAAAGGGGTTGAGGAAGTCCCAAGGGGAGACCTCAGGCGGCGGGGGAGGCTCAGGAGGAGCAGCTGGAGGAGTCTGAGGCCGATTGCTGTAAGGATCACCGGAAGGCGAACCCATCGAAAAGCCATAGAATCCCCCCGTCTCGTACTGAGGATACCCAGAGTAAGATGGGTATGACGGATCAGGCCAATAGGTTGCTGCAGGCGACACATGTGGCTCCTGGTAATAGACAGAAGGAATTGCAGTGGACGACCGCTTCATGTAATTGGCAAAGTACGAATATGTATTCGCTTCAGTCGGGGTCGAATCGGTTGGAGGCGAAAAAGAAGAAGGCGCTGGCCTTTCCGGAGTATCCTCCGCTCGATGCTCTAACGAACCCGAATCAGAACCATGGCTCGACGACAAATGCAAGTGTGAATCCTCAGACAGATGCAAGTGAGAATCCTCCTCCGGCGAGTGATGGTGGGAGAAAGAATCCGAATGTGAGAGAGAAGTTGTCGACGAAGAAGTATTATTATTATTATTATCTCCAATACCCTTGTTTTTCCTCCTCTTTCTCTTGCCTTCGTCGGAGGGAAGCGTCAGAACCGGAGAAGACGGAGGAGAACCAATGACGAGCTCTTCGTCGACGAATCGAGAGAGAGCTTCACCCACGTCCTTGAGGGATCGAAAGTACGAGAGGTGAGCAGAGGCGAGGGCGTATCGATTATCCACGGCAGCTCTGATGAAGTCTCTCCTCTCTCTGCATAGAACCACCAACTCGGAGTCGTCTAATTTGGATCCTCCACAGCCCATATCAACAACAACAACATCGACCAGAAGAACACGAACCCTAATCCTCCATGCTTCTTCACTACCCCGGAAGCATCAAATGAACTTATCATCTCCACCTCCATGCCTGTTTGTACAAATGCGAAACATTGTAAGGAGAAGGCGGAGAGAGAAGTTGCAGACTTGCAGACACCAGATCCAAAGTAGATCCCCGTAGAAGCCACTACAGAGAAAGAAAAACGACTCCAGGTCCCCCCACATGCATATAAAAAACTGATAAATTTAAGAATAGAAACCCTAGAAGCAGAATTTGCTACAGAGAGAGAATAGAGAAGGGAAGAAACTTAAGAGGAAATCAATTTTAAATTTAGAAAGAGAAGAGATTAAGCCATTAAATTACTGACTCGTCCACTATTAATTACTGAAAATATGATCTTTGATACCTCTGAGCTTCCCTCGGTCTCGTCCATGCGACAACACCTCACACTCACACTTCACAGAGAGATAGAGAAGCAGAGAATAACAGAGGAAAACTGAAAAGATTCTTTATTTCCGTGGATCCTCTTCTGAATCTGGAAATGAGGAGTCTGTTTAGATCAAACTGTGCTGCTGCAGCGCTGAAGTGTGCTTGCCAATTTTTAATTTCTATTTAATTTAAAATTCTTCCTTCGGACGTGCCGTTGGGTCTCGTGTAAGAGAAGGTGGAGAGAGAAAGAGGGGCTTACTGGTTTAGACTTTAGAGACAGAAAGAGTTGTTGGGTTTAGAGAGGGGCGTATTTATCTTGTGGGTTTCAGGGTTTCAGAGTGAAAACTTGAGGAATCCGCCATTTGAAACGGAAGGTGGTAGGAGTTGTAGCAATACGATCATACAATATTTACCGATTTCCCTCCTCTCTCCTATCTCTCCTCTCTCTCTCTCTAGACTTGTGTCTGTTGACGTTGTTCGGACGTGAATGCGTAAACGCTGGGTCTCGGGGTTGCAGAGTTCAAATGGTGTAAGGAAGTAGAATGCGTCCACGCGGCATTTTTAAACTTTAGGTGGACGGAAGTACCCTTCTCTGTATTATATAAAAAGACAATTTTGGCCTTGTGGGAAAGAAAGAAAGAAAGGACAGTGGGGAGGAGAGAGAAGAAAAAGGGATAAAGAAAGCGAGAAAAAGGAAAGATATGTCGGAATGGGGGCTTTATTTTCAGTTGTTTTGATAACAAAGAATGGATTCTTTTGGTGATGTCGTCGTTGTTGTTGTGTAAAAGACTAAAAGGCTTGATTTGTTAAGGAAGTTTGATAGGGAAGATGGCCAATTCTCCCTGGCCGTGGGCCCATTAGAGAGAGAAAGAGAGTTGAATTTGAGGGTGATTTGGATCAACTAACTACTTGGGGTCCCCCAAAATTAACCTCCCCCGCTCTCTCTCTCTAAAATCTGTATGGAGTTAGTTAAAGGGGGCCCATTGTCTTATAAAAGGGGGAATTGAATTCTTTAATTTGTTTTGTCTAGAAGCGCAGAGTCAATAACCATGGTTCATGGATTTGGACTAGACCCGGAATTGGAACTGGGAGACAAAGAGATTTTGATGGGCTGGGTCTTGGACTCTTGCCCTCACTTAGCTTCAAGTTCCCACCCAATACATTTTTGTATGGGAATTGAATTTGATTGTTTCTTAATTCTTACACTTGGGATTATTCTTAACATAAGGCCCATTCAAGCCCAAAGAGAGACAGAATTTACCCAATGAGTTTGAGCCCAAATGAAGATGGGCTTGAGGCCTGGGCACCTGGCTCACCTCAAATCAAATTATGGAGCACATGACTGAAATTCTACCATGATGAGTTGGGCCCTCAGCCAGCCTCACCAAAAGAGAAAAGTGCAAAACTTCTACTGATTTAAGATCAACCAACCAAATCCCTAAAATACTGAGCAAAGTGGAGTAGCTCAACAGCCAATGGTTTCTATTAAATTATAACCTTTCCTGTCATCTGTTATTATTGTGTGCTAAAAGCCAATTGTCTCAAGTGTGGTTCAATCAACTGCAAAAGTAACTTAACAAAAAGTGGTTATTTCTAGAAGAGAAAAGCCAACCAATGAAAGCTTTGGGCAAATCCTACTTGGTGCCAATTAAGGCCATCTCCCATTGACACTAATTATCTTGAAGATATATGTTTATAGACCTAGAGCTGTCAATGGGTCGGGTCGGGTCGGATTCACTATAAGATGGATCAGTCCCAAACCAATTATTAATCAGTTCTATAAGATAGATCTAAAACCAAACCGATTTATTATTTGGTATAATCGGGTCTGACCCACATGTAAAATTAATTACATTTGATAATAACAGTTTAGAAGTTCATTTAATCATTTATCGGAATATACCTTAATAAAAGTGAAAATAAAATAGTAAACTATCGTTTATATGTTGATAACACAAGTGTTTTTAATCAAAATTATATTACATATTGTTTATAAAATATGCCCTTTTAAACATAAAATACAAAAAAAAAAAAGAAACCTCTGCCTATGATTAATTTATAACGATTCAGAACAGCAAAAAACAATCCCAACCCAATTATCAGGACAAAACCACAAAAACAGAATCAACAAAACCCAAAAGAAAATCTTGCAGATTTACAAGCTACTTGAATGTTTCCAATGTTTGTATCATAATATTTTAAGGTTTAATGACTCTCTCTCTCTCTCTCTGCATAAATGCCATGTAATTTTGAACAATAAAATAATAAAACTTGAACCATAGTTTGAAAAAGGACTAAGTTCAATGTTTGTGACCACTCTTTTATCTGATGATTAAAGTATTAATGTAATTATGCCCTAATTGCAGATCATAATATTTATGATCTGAAATTGCATAAACCCATACAAGTACATGCACCGGGATGTGTTCAAGAGCCAATTCAATTACCAAGAGCTATTTGTTTTTTTTTTTTTTCGGATGCGCTGCGGAGCATTGTGGGGCGCAGATGTGAACTCATTTTGTTCATGTGTAGAGCTTATTAATCAACATTATTAAGTATAAATTCTAAGCAAAATTTTAAGACTCCCATTATAATACTATCAATATGATTTTCTAATATATCATTTGGCAAAATCATTTATATAACCATTCAAAGAATTTCCTTCTTTTTTTTTTTTGCCTCATCATGATCCAAGGGATTTTAATTGAAAAGGCAAGATTTATATGAATAATTTTTTCTCTTCAAAACTTCTTTTTCACCACCTATATTAAAGTTTTAAATCATTAAATGGTATTCAAATTTAGGGGAAGGTAATATCTTTTATCTTTTATTTATTTATTTATTTATTTACTTATTGATATTGAAGGTGTTCTCTTTTATCACTATCTACGTAGAAAAAACTGCAAATCACAGATTTTGATTCAATGGACATGTGATATGTTTCCTTGTCACCCCGTGCATTGATCCTTGGAGCTTGTTCTTCTCCCAAAGCCCTTTGATTTTTCTTGAATTTATCAAAATAAGGGGTGTTTGTCAGCGGGAACTGGTTTCTATAGGGCGATTTTTATTTTCAGGAATTAGAAAAATCATCACTGCCTTCTTCAATGTCTAATTGGTTCTCATTTCGGCAAGCAGGTCCCACACGTCAGCAGAAGAGAGTAATTGCTGGGACCCACAGAGTGGACTCGGTTGCCCAAGTTCAAAAACATCAAAAAGCTCTCGAATCGTTTTCAGAAATCCACTGTTTTAGGGTGTTTATGTCCTTTCACATTAGTATATGTACATGTGTAAGACAAAGGTACCAAGTCACCCTCCACGTGGCATAATCCCCAACTCTGCAAGCCTCCAACAAGTACAAAAAGTCAAAAAATGCTCTTTCACATCATCAACTTTGTCCCTATTTCCTATTCCATAATATGAAATTGGCCTATTGTTGTTGGGTATTCCTATAGCGCCAATACAGCCTAGTCATGTGCAGGCATGTGCTTTCACTTTAATATTAAATTATTAATTAACTGCAAGGAAAAAAATAGAGTTTCATACAGAATCACTGCAGGTGGGCCCAAACACATTACATGTTTGCCACGTGTCCCAGTTAATGTAAGTAAGGGTGAATGAGGTCGTATTCATATTTGGCGTGGCGTTCAAAAAATGTTTGAAACCGAGAAAATTGTGTCTTGGCACACGAGGGAAAAGTGTTGACTTATGCCCAGAAATGGATTGTACGTCTGGCTACAGTTTTCCCAGAAAATTACGAGAAAACAGATTCCAAATCCAACTTCTTGTTCTGGACCAACAAAACAAACCAACTCATCTCGACTTCTGGACCTCTTGTCTTCAGAGTTCAGACTTTGGTCAGGTTCATCGGTAGACTGACCCACCAAGGCACCAAAGCCCACACGGTTTCATTTCATAACAAAAATTACAAAATGCACAAGGGTCCGTTTGGGAGGATTGAGCCTGAGCTGAACATTCAGTTAAGCAGGTTTAGGCGTTTAGCTGCATTGAGGCGCTCTGGATAAGCTCGTGGTCGTTGACAGCCCAAAAAATAAAGAGAGAATGCCAACCCAGGGTTAGAATTTTTAGGCCCAAAGTACAGGTAGGGTAGGTATAGAATGGGGTTTTTTGACATTTTGAATGTTTATAGGCTTGCAATGGAATTCAGAAATCTATAATGGGCATGTCTATGCTTTTCAAAAAATAAATACCAATCGGATTAGTTGAACGCTTTAATTGTGTCGTAGGCTATGGAACCAAGATTTTCAAAACTGAACTGGACCAGATGGTCGGATTAGAAAAACTGGGAAAGTGACTGGTTCCGCTTTACCCCAGAACCATTATTTTGTCAAAACCATTGATTTAGTCAATAAACTGGTGATCCGGACAGTCAAGCTGTCCAACGGTTTGGTGGTTTTTATTTTTAATTTTTTTTATTATTTTTTGTTAGAATGGACCATCTTTTTGGTTCGAACAATCAGACCATTTGACCTAAAAACCAAACCTTGACCAAAATTTATTGTCTAGTTCAATTTTAAAAACCTTGAGTGAAATCAATGATAACACCCCATGCCAATGATAAAATATGTAATATTGGTTCTATATCCTATTAGACACCCCATGCCAATGGCTTCACACTCTCTAATGTAACCCTATATAGGCAGTCAAAGAATGCTCGGTGAAAAATCCGGAAAGCACATACCGGCTGCCCAACTAAGGGTTGTCCACTCTATCTTCTTTGGAGCACTTCAAAGGAGCTGAATCAACTAAATTGAATCTTCAGTTCAGCCCTTCCAAACGGGCACTGAGTGACTGGCACCTGATTTGGGCACTCCAGACTTTTCATCAAACTTGGCTTAAAGGTGATCCGTGTAGGGCCCACATTGGAAAGCGAGAAGCCACTGTGCTTCACCCCAAAAAGGCACTAAATCCATAGCTGTTACGATGTAGACTCCCGTGCTTACAATAGGATAGGAATCTCTTTGTCCCCATTTGAGAATTTTGGAAAAAAAAAATATATTCCAATTGGATTCCAGATATGAGCCTGTAATGTTCAAAGGCTGAGAAGCTTTTTTCAACTTTGCAGCTAAGAGCCTGAAACTTTTGAAGCTTTTTGAATATGGGATTGATGCCATCTAAAGACTTGGAGGAAACATGAAATCAAGTTTCAAAGTTCAAACTCTTTGAATGAAGATGAAGTTGATTGACGATTTCAATCTTTCACTTCATTCAAGTGATTGGACTCTAAAATCTAATCCATGGGCCAATGTTGTGGACATGGGATTAAGTTAAATTTCTCTAATTTGAATTTGAACTTTTCTGAAAGGGATGTTCGCCATGCAATGCAAGGAACCAGCCTTCAAAGCATAGGACCACAATTTAATTAGGGATGTTTTTTGTTAATCTATGAGATTTGTGAATATTTATTGACAAAAAAAACCCTGGTTAGCCTTGCATTAATTAAAGGTTCATTTGCTTCAAGGGTTTGTATTGTTTTGTCTTTTAGATTCATAATAATTATAATAAATGTT